ACACTGTTGTTAGCCACACACACACGCAATTTTCTACATGGCTGCACAAGTGCATTGCTGATTTGCTTATCTGTAGTCTGCTGCTTTCAAGGTGTTTTGTTTACTTAATTCAAAATCAATAAGTTTATTTCCCGGACAATAGCCAACATTCGCTTGGAATAGCTGCCTAATTTTAAAGTCAAGTTCAGACATTCATCGCAAAAGAATCCAGTAACAACCCCCAAATGAAGAAACAGCGTATTACACAAACATTGTTGGAATAGCCTGTAGAAGCAAGTTAGCTGATGGCTATAGACTTGTCAGACTGACAATTCACTGCACATCTGTGTCTGCCAATATAGTATTTACTCAAAATTGCCTCTCTAGACACTTCTTTACATAACACATATTTAGCTTATTAGTGCTGTCATTTGGGAGTGTGGTCAGCTTTTGAGCAAAATCTGAGTCCGTTAGCACGGATCAGATCACAGCTGCCATTTTAGAATCATGATGATTAGGTTTGAAGTTCAAATGATTTGATTTCGCTTTAAAGCTTCAAAAGCAGCCTCTGGGGCAGACTTACACAATTAATTTTTACTGAGGTCTGCTGGGTAATTTACTGTAGTCAGAGAATCTTCACTAAGGTAAGGTAATTACCACTGGGTAATTTTATGGCACTCTGTTCAGTAGGAAGCAACATGTTGGCTGGCTTCTGCTCAGATAAGACCTGGAGGAAAGTGAAGATGCCATGAAACAACACGTCTGAGACACTGAGGAAGGATGAGTGGAATTCACACTCTTCCCAGATGCAGACCTGAAGTTGTACTTGCCCTCAAAATCTCTTTGAAGGAGCGTGAGTGAGGACTTACAGTATACAATCCTGTAAATATTGTACTGTGAAGCTTTCAAAATTGGAAGCTTTCAACATTGAAGCACTGTGCCTGTGATTCTTTACTACAGGAACAAAGAATACCTTCTTACTTTAGTTTGAACGCAGAAGTAAACAATGAAACAAAATATCCCTTTGAGATTTGTATTTATCACTTACAAGAAGCACTTCCTAATAATCAGTGGCAGCTGGGCTGACAAGCAAACTTCAGAGTACAGCCACAGGGGATACAAGTCTATTTTAGGTTTACTGTTGACAGTAAGGGTCAGAGGAAAAATAAACTCAGCAAGCAGTGTCATGCTACCACAAACCTCTGCTGGCCAAGCAGAAACTAAATTATGGCCAAACCTTTCAGCACCACAGAAAGACTTGGGCAACTGGGCTGCCCTGCAGTGCACAGAGCACGACATACAGATGAACAGGATTAAGCACAAGTGAGAAATAAAATAAATTAGTGATAAATACAGCTCAGAAGATCGGAGGAGCTAATTATCCCACAGTCTGGGGTGGGGTACAGTATGCTTACCCCAACGGCATCCCTAGTATTTTAGTATTTGAAGTCTGCAAAATTTATCTGGAAAGCCCTGTGAACACAATGACCGATCACAGTCTCCTTCAAGATATCCTTCTTTTGGTCAAGCCATAAATAATATAGGTAATCTCTACTTCTGGATCTAACCATTAAAAAAAACCGAAAAGAGCAGCAGACGGACTCAGACTTTATTTCTATTACATACCCATATATACAGTAAAAGAAAGCAAAACTTTTTTTACCTTAAAAGTTTAGTCCTCAGCTTCATTTAATGTACTGTAGCACTACTGGGGAAAGCTGATTTGATTGCTTTATCACGCTAATAAAAGCTAAGATTTGTGTAAGGGGAAGAAGAGGGAATAAAGTATATTCCATATTGATATCGCTGCTGATGGCATTACTGGCTTTCATTTTGTTAAGTTTACTTCCTATTAAAGCTGATGATAAAAGCAGCTGTGTGGACTCATAAGCACCTCTATCTACATCTCTCCAAGGACTCATTACAAATATCTGTTTCATATAGTCTCATCGTCTAGGACAGATTTAATTTTATTCTATCTTTCACTAGGCATAAATAAAAACCTGTCATTCCAACAATTGTATGGCTTTCCTTTTTCTCTACCTATCACCCACTGGATGCAAACACGATCTTGTAATTCTTACTGTTCTGTTGTTTTCCTTTTCTTTGCTTTTTTTGTTTTGATGAAGCCACAAATGTTTTGGCCATTGTCAAATGCTAGTTTCTTGGAACAAAGCAGACTTTTTTTTACTTTCAAGCATAATTATACAGGACAGAAATAATATGTATGTTAATCCATGTACCATAGACAAAATTCTTCAGATTTTAGGAAGGTGTTTAAAAACCAAGTGCAGTTCTAGTGGGTGATGCCCAATCATTGTGTGTCCATTCTCTCCCAAACTAATGCTTATTTGTGCTGTTCTGTTTGACCATTTTAAAGTACTTGCTTTCCATTCTTCCATAGCTCTCAGCTCACCTGAATACCCCTAGGACATTCAGAACAAGTGCCCTATGGAGCAATGCCACACTACTCAGTTGTGATTTCAGAGCCTACAGGACGTCAGATTAACAAATTCTCCTGGCTTTTCTCATGGGGTCCCATAATTCACCTGTTTTGTCAGCACTATTTTTGAACTGCTGTCAGGTGGCATTGAGGATATATTGGGTCAGCTCACATTGGGTCCTGTGAGCATGACTCTCATTAATACAAATAGGATGTTTCTTATGTGTTTGAAGTCTTATGGATTGATGGAAAAAAGTCAGCAGCTTCCAGTGACTTCAATACTACCCATGACAATGGTGAGCAATACCAGGAGAATAAAATCAAGGGGCCCAGTTCCAGTGTGATGTACTTCATTCAAAGTCTTCGGGATTGCTCTAGGGTACCAAATTTGTATGGGAACTTTTAAGCTGTTGCACTGAACCACATCATTATTTCTCCGAATCTCTTCTTTTTACAAAGTCTCCTTTAGAAACTTGCCCAGTGTAAGACTTTTGAGTATGTTGACCATGAAGATGCAGATGGTAAGGGAAAAGACAATAATAGTCTATTCTTAGCCTCCTTGTCGCCAGTAATAAAATACTGCTTTCTGCATGTTTTTAAACAGTATTTCCACTCTTTCTTCTAAACTTGAGCTTCTTTTGGCAGATTTCTCACTTATCTTTCAATGTCTAATGACTGTATACTAGTACTGGAGAGTATTAAA